GTGTATATATGCTTATAATTTTTACCTCTTTGTGTTGTATTACTTTCTTAACTAAAATGTGATGATCTTCTTTACCATTTCTGATCCATTTTGGCTTGAAGTTCACTTTGAGGACAGGACATCTACTCCTGCTTGTTTTCAGGTTCCCATTGCCTGGGATGTTGTTTTACCTCATTTGACTTTTAGTCTATAAATTTCTTTTTGGGTTAAATATGTTTTTGTATGTAGCATAAGGTTGGGTTTTTCCGTGATCCTTTCTGCCAGTCTTAATTAGGGAATTGAGACCATTCATATTGATAGATATTATTAGAAGATATTAAATAATTCCTGTGATGGCATTGCTTTCCGAATGCTGGTTCTTTTCTGACTCCCCTCCTCAACTTAACTGCTCACCCTGCTTACTGTATTTACTGCATTAGACGTTTTGTCATTGTTAGCTTAGTTGTCTATTTCTAGAATATCCATGAGAATATTTTGGAATGCTGGTTTTGTTTTTACAAGTATCTTTAAGTACTGTTTGTTATGAAAAGACCTTATTCACTATGAGATTTCAAAGATAACTTTCCAGGATGTATCGGTCTGGGTTAGAAGTTGTTTTCTTCTGGATTTGAAACACTTACTCCAGACTCTTCTGGCCTTTAAGGTTTATGTTGAGAGGCCTGCATGCTTATTCTAATACATTTACTTTACAAGTTGATTTTTGTTGTTGTTGTTGTTGTTGTTCTTAAGCTGAACTTTTGGTATTTTGACTCTGACATACAAGTTGTGGCGAGATTCTTTTCTGATTGTTGCTATTTGGGGTTCTATATATGTCATTTGTATGTTAAATTTTCCCATGTTTGAAAAGTCTTCTACTATTATTTCTGTAAATAGTTTTTTTAAAATTTTATTTAAAAGGAAAAAGAGAAAAAACAAAACAAAACAAAGCAGTGTAAGGGTACAATTAATACAGAACTACAAAAAAAAAAAAAGTAAGAAATCACCAGTTAATAGATTACAATTATCATCCTAGAGACAGTTGCTCAAGTCACAGTATCAAAGCATACAAAGTGGACATTCAAACAGTGAGACTGCAAACAGTTGTGTTCAATGATCCAACCAAAAACATTAATATGGGCATCTGTTTAACACCTCTAAACATACTTGCAGTTGTATACTTTAGAGCACTTTTTTTCCCTCTCTTTTTTACAACACAATTTACACATGTAGGGTTTTATTACTCCTTAGTTCTTATTACCCTTTTGAAAGAGAATAAAGTCCAATATGGCAAAACAAAGCTGTCAGTCAAAACCAAGGATAGACATAGCACATGATATAAAAACAGAGTACAAGGTTATCAACAATGGTTACCATAATGCCTCTTGCTTCCTTAAAAAGAATTGTCTATCTCATTAGGTATTATAAAGTTGAACAAAACAGTAGAGAACAAGACCAATAAAACCTAAACCTTGTAAACACTACAGGACTTCCAAAGAAGATAATAGTCAAACCAGAATGGGCATCATAGTGAATCTTATTGCCTTCAAAGTAGTTGCCTATACCTTCAAAATTGATACTATCATACAGAACGGAACAGAGTCTAATCAGTCAAAACAAGATAGTGGGAGTATTACAGGACTTCAAATCAAGTTAATAGGAAATCAAATAAGTTACTATAATATATCCTGCTAATTTTTTTGATTTTTCCCCTTAATTAAAAAAATCATAAAAAAATAACTAAATAATTTTTTTAATGAATAAGGAAGAGATTGAGATAAAAGAGGACATAACATCATAACAGTACAGGTCAAAGCATGACAGTTTCAGCAACCTAGTGCTTCACCACCAAATAACCCGGTTTAATAGTAGTTGCCATAGTGTCTTTTTCCTTGAAATATTTGAATATAACTTCATATACTATAGCTTCAAACATATCAAGTCAGTGTAAAACCATTCAAGTGGATGAAAGCATTGTAGGGTTTTTAGAACCCACTAACAGAAAATAAACAATGGTTTCTATATTATCTCTTTGCCTATAACAATTTTTGTTTATACTATCACATATAATAAAATCCAGCAAGATACATCATGATAAAACCAATGTAGACAGAAGAGCCGTAGTTTGGTGGGGCTTCAAGACAAGATGATAGTAAATCAGCACTAGCTATTATGATGACTTAATTTTCTTCAAAATAGCTGTTCATTTCATCACAGGCAATAATATCAAGCTGTCAAGCTGTAAATAGTTTTTTAAATTTCATTTGTATTGTATTCTGATTTTTCACTAAATCAAATTAATCTTATATTTGTCTTCTTTGGATCCTCTAGCAGCTGTCAAACTCATTTTTTTTTGTTTTGTTATTTTTAAGGTTTCTCTCAATACTTGATCTCTGATACCAGTTCTGTTTTCACGTTCTGACCCTCTGTCCTCACATTAGTCACTTCTGCTGCCCATACTTTTAATAGAATTTTTAATCTCCTGGATTTCTGTTTGGTATCTTTTTGTGAACCCTAATTTTTTTACTAACCTTGATTCGTATCATTTTGTTTAATTCAACTAGCTTTGTAAAATGTTTTTAAATATTTTAGCTAGTTTTTTATTAGTATCTTTTGTAATCTTGCTGATTGTTTTGTTATATCTTATTTGGGCTCAGCAAGCACTTTATTGATCTGCTTTTTTTCTAATCTCCTCTGTTACCCTTTCAAATAATTCGACTGTGTGGCTATTGATTTCCTTGCTCTCAATGTCCCATTTATAAGCTTTGAGGGAGGGGAGATTTTGGAGTTATTCTGTTGTCTTATCATGTTTCTGTTTTGTCTGTGTTGAGGTGTGTGGGTTGATTATAGGGAAAGACTCTGTTGTTAGTATGGAGCCCTCTCTAGTTAGCATCTACTAACTAGTAGTACACTCTGAGCATGATTAACTGTGGGCCTTTGTTCTGTCACAAGGTCCAATCCCTTTTATTTATTTTAGAGGGAAGGGTTCATTGTATTTGGACCAGCACCCAGCTCTCCAGGAATGGACTGCAGTATTGTTAATGGCACCAAGACTATCCAGATGTTGGCAATAGCAATTACATCAACAAGAATAGTACTAAGAAAACTTGGTTATTGACATACCCTGAGAACCAGTAATATAGCACCCTTAACCACAAAAAAATCAGGTCTATAATTATAAACACAAAGACAAGACAAATATTGCCATACAGTAAATATCTATTTACTGTAACAATTATACCTTCACTAACAACAGGACAGTATTAGTGATACAGTAGAATTATCTGTCTAAAGATTTATATAGCTTGATGTTTATACTGGTAAGGATAAAGGGAATAGGGAACTGGAGAATAAAAAAGGTAGAATTTGGAAAATCTGTCAATGGAAGTTGAGCAAGGAGAAAAGTTTGATAAAGAATCCTATTGAGGAGTAAAAGGAAATAATATTAGATAAAAGGAACAGAAAGAAGAAACAAGAAAAACAGAGCAAAGTGAAAAAAAATAATAAGGAAAAAAGAATTAAAAGAAAAAATGTGGGAAAAGCCCAACCCCCAAATGTCAATGAAGATGAAAGAAAAAATTTGAGTCAAAAAAAAAATAATAATCCTCTTCTTTTTGAATGAGTGGACTTTTCCAGTATCTTCGATCTTAGCATATAGCAAGTCATGATTTTCTTTGCCTAGCTTAGAGTCAGTGAGTTTAAGAGGTACTCACCTCACCAATACGGACCCCTCTGTCCTATGCCACAGACTGTGGCACCTGGCCAAGGTGAAGTGTGTCCTTGTTCACTTGGCGGATGAGAAAAGCAGTCAGACCACTTGTGCCTGCCTAGTGTTAGTGTGAACTGGGAGTTCAAGTTTGAGATACCACCACCTCCGAAAGCCATGCATGCCAGGCCTTTCCTCACCATGGAGGTCAGTCAGGGCCTGTGTCCTTTCCTCTCTGAGCTCAAACGTCCTGGGGGGTGTCTATAGCTAGCCCAGACCTTCTTTGCAGCAGTCTGCCGTGGTTGTCTGTCCATCAGTCACTGTGGGAAGATAACACTGGAAACCTGAAGTGCAGTTGTTTTGTAGTTTTTCTCTGGCCCAGTCTTAAACAGTTAATCCTTTCCCAAAATAGTATTTCATTAAACACTCTCTGACAGTGCTGGGTGCTACACCAGTTCCAGTCTGCCATAAAGGAGCTGTTTCCAGGTAAAACCCCATTCTAGTTTTGCAGTTTACGCTAACCATGGGCTTTTCCTGGGTGAGTGCTCTTTTTCTTTTTTTTTTTTTAACCTTGTACATTTATTAGAAAAGAAGAAAGTTATGAAATATCCTCATATCGTTCCTCAAGATGTTAAAGAGACAGAATAAAGCCAAAAATGAATAGAAGAAAATAATGAAGACCAGAAAACACAATCCCTTATCAAAATGCCAACATGGGCCTGGGCTCTTGATCACGTCCATTATTTCTCTGCCGTTGCTCACTCTCCAGAGTTTACCTTCTCTTCACAGTGAAGTCAGTTGGTTGATTGGCATCTCTGATGCCTCATGTGAGGGAAAACAAAGCAGAGTAGGCTGGCGTGTTGGGTGGCTGTCATCAAGGTGTGAATTCACAGGGTGGAGTGGCTCACCTATTTTCACATCAGATTGTTACTTGATTGTTGATTTTGTTTTTACTGTGTTTTGGCAATGTATACAGTATTATTGATTAAATAATTAGTTACTTAGCTATTTAATTGAATGAACATTGGAAATATATTAAGTCTTCTTAGAAGTTTATTTTATGAATTATCTGGGAAACTTTGTCCCTATTTTGATTATGTAACTTTACAGTAACTTTACACTATCGGTTTTGTCTAATAATTCTTCCAGGATTATTTCATATTAAGTTTTTCCAGGAGCATTTTTTTTTTAAAAAAGAATAGTGTCAGGAGCTAATTTCGTGACAAACAGAAAATGAAATAGACATCAGACTTGTTTCGTCCAAAATGTGAGATTTTCTGGGAGAATAATAATTTTATTCTGTACATCTTTGTGTCAGGGCTGTGATCTTCATCAGGAAATGCAGAGGCCCCTCAGCCCAGGAGTTCCAAGTGTGGAAATTGATGTGTTCTCTGAAGATGTTTCTGTGGCCACACAGACTCTCCGGAAGGTAATTTTCCTTGGGTATTTTCAGAAGGCTATGTGACTCATCTACACACCTTCTCCAGAGTAACCATTATGGAAAAGTATCAAAATGAATGCGAGAAAATTACCAGAATTGAGTCTTAAGCAGGAATGTAGGCCACACTTTCTTAGGTTTGCTACTGTGACCTTGACATAGGACAGTTCTTTGTTTCGATGGGCTTTTCCTTGTGAATTGCAAGATATTTAGCCATATCCTTGTCCTCTAGATGCCAGTATTTTCTTTAAGTTTTGATGAGTAAATTATCTCTAGACTTTGAAAAATGTCTTTGATAGACAAAATTAGTGAGAACTGGCTTAAGCCTATTAATCCATGAGCAGAGGTGGCTGCAAACCATAGTCTCAGTACAAGAGCCTTCTCGTTACCTGCTTCCCCTAATTGGAGTGAGTCAGCCTGCCTGTCAGGATTAGGATTTGTAGAGAGGAAAAGTGAGTACTTGTCTTCAAATGCTTTGTAATTCCTCAGCCTTGGAAAGTAGATAGCTAATTCTCTCCTGAGGTCAAACAGGTCAGAACATTTATAAAAGGACCCCAAAGGAGAGGTGCCTACTCAGTAGCTTTCATAACTAGAAGCCTTTGCTTATTTGATTTTCTGTCTAACAAATCAGACATCAAAGAACTAGATCCTACCGTGGTGAGACAGGGTGTTTGTGACTAACTCTTTTTTCCCTTTATGATGTGCAGAAGTCTGATGCAGCCAGTGTGCTTTCAGAATGCAGCACTATTGATCTGCAGGGTCCTGTTAGAAATTTGTATAATTTGGTTCCCTCCCAAAAGCAACCAGAAAGATGTTTGCCCAAAGGTAAGTGGCCATGTTCTTACATACAGTTCAACAAGTCTGAGTGGAAATTTTCTTTACAGCTTTGTGGGTTTGGTAGCTTCTTCCTTCTAGTTCTGTTTTTTTTTTTTTTTTTAATTTTAAAGAGGATAAAACAGAATAAGAACCACTTAAAACAAACCAGTATAAGAGATACAGGATTTCAAAACATTACAAAATCAACAGTAGTTATCATAATATCTTTTGATGTCTTCAAAATAGCCACAGATACCTTCAGACATAGTAAAAATCAAACAGAACAGAATAGAATAGAAACTATAAAAACAAAACAATAAATCAATAAAGTATTTCAAAACAAGCCAATAGTAAGTCCAAAATTGCTACCATAATACATCTTGCTATCTTTGAAATACCTTTTCCTGCCTTCAGATTTAGCATAAACAAAAGAGAATAAAATCCAACCCAACAAAACAATGGAAACAATATAGTACCTCAAAACAAGACCATAGGAAATCAACAGTGGCTGTAACCCTCAGAAGGCGTCCCCCTTAGATTCCACACTGAATACTGGTATCCTCTGAACCTATTATGATTAGACCACTGGCCCAGACCTGCAATGTCAGTGAAACACCAAAGCATCACAGGCATCCAATTGCATTTCACCTCGACAGCCATCATCACAGCCTGTGTTGCTCCAGACAAGCCGGTCGCTTACAGGGCAGCAGAGTAGGGGGAGACTGGTCCTTCTTGTATTGCTAGCCCACGCGCTGGAGGGGCTAGAGTCTGGCTTCTCCCAGCCCAGCAGCAGCCTGTGCAACTTGTTCTCTCTCCTGCAGTCCACGAATGACCTCTTCGATTTCCGTTAGGGACAAAAAGAATAAAATGCCATCCAGAGATTTATGGAACCATTATCAGGGCCAGGCAGAAGGGATTTTAGGAAGTTCTTGATTTAGGTGGGCTCTGCTCACACAGGCAGGATATATCCTAGAAAATTTTTCCTTAAAAAGCCCACTAATCAATTCATCTATCACTTTGTACAGTCCCTGGCATAGCCATTATTAGAGTGTTTTTGAGGTGATAGACCAAAAGAAGAACTTAGGAGTCATAATGGCTGTCATTGGCTTAGGGTACAGATTGCCTGAGCTCGAATTCTAACTCTTCCACTTACTAATTCTATGACTTGATTAATTTAGTTAACTTTTCTATGCCTCGTTATAGAATGAAGATAATAGTAACCTACTGCACAAAGTTGTTGTGGGTATTAAATGAATAAATATAAATTCCTTAGAGGAGCACCTGGCATATAATACACACAAACAACAATATATACAGAGCTTCCTGAATTTTTGAATAGATATAGTGACTTCTTCCCATAAGCCTTATTATTTATTTTATTTATGGTGGGGAATTTATTTCTATGTGCCTCTACTGTGAATTCCTAAAAATGAAGCACTGGCAGTCTGATGTATGTAGTGTGAAAACAGAACCAGGCACAGATAGTGGATTTAAATCAGTAAATAAGTTACTTAGCAAATGAATAAAGAACATCCAAAGTTAAAATTTTCTATCTAAGTTTGGAGATAAACTAGACCCAGAAGGGATTCCAAATTCATATTTCAGGTTGTTTGATAGTCCCAAAGCTGGACAGAGGCCACTTTAAGAATTTACAATGTCCTCGTCCTTGAAATATGCAGAGAATGTCAACAGTAGAGAGAGAAAAGGTAGGTTTCTAAAAGATGAAAGAGTGGGATAAAAGGTGAGAAGAAATAATCATGTAGGAAAATGTATAACCTTTGAGTGTTCTGAAAGAGGAAGGGAGAGAAAGGGCAGAGAGGAAGACTTACAGTGGTGTTGGGAGATACTGAGGAGAAGAAAGAAATGTTATGTTCACCATGAAGTAGGGACTGTTGGAATCTGAAGAGGAAGAAGAGACAAAATGAGAATCATAATGTGATCTGTAAGCTGGAAGCTCATGTATGTTAAGAACAAATGCTCAGCTATTTGTAAACATCTCTGAAACTGGCCAAAGTCTTTTCATACATGTCTTGGGTGGCTCGTGATTGTCTTATTCCTTCCAATCCTTTGGACACAATCTGTGTGCTGTCACCCCAAAATTTATTTCATAATAAACAACCTCAAAACCTCAGTGACATACAATAAATGAAATGTGTGTGCATGACTCAGTTGCCCTCTGCTGGGTATCTGCTATGGTTAGATGGCTTTATTCATGAGTATTGCTGACTCCTGGGAATCAGATGATCAAACTTAAAATCAACTGGGCAACTTGTCTTTGCTTCACGTATCTGTCACCCTTTCCCAGAACCAATGGGGTAACTCAGACGTGCCTTCCCAGTGGAGACGGTACAAGTGAACAAGTGGGAACATTTTCACAGCCTAATCTTAGAACTAACATACTGTGACCGTAACTCCACCCTGCTGGTCGAAGCGTCACATGAAGAAGCCTCGATCTAAGGAGTCAGAAGAAGATTTTACCCCCTACTGGGAGGAATATGTCTCAAGACAAGAGACATTAGTATGGAAAAGAGTGAGGAGTTGGGACTATTAATCTCATTGACAAGGCACTAATGATAGTACTCATGCTGATTCCGTTCAGGCCTGAGTTACTACTTTCTATGCTGTAAAAGAGACAAGAGAAAGTCACCCTGGGTCGTGTGGTGGAACCTGCGGAAAACCTGCTACCAAATAGTCAAGCACAGTTGGTTTGAGAGCTTTATTATCTTTGTGATTCTGCTGAGCAGTGGGGCACTGGTAAGTTACCATGGCCTGATGGGGACCCTGTGTATCAGGCATCGGGGACCCCTCTCATGGGTCTGTGAGGGTGGGGAGACTAGCCAAGAGTGGAATTTTCACCACTAGTTTCTTTAGCAGATAAGAGTTTCACACAGCTTCTACAGTCACACTGCAACTGTGAAATCCCCATTTCAAAGATGCCTTTACCTATGGAGAGTACTTCAGATCAGTGCTGTAAAGTGATTTCTAGAATCCAGCCCTTTATTCTCGCCTCTAGCCCTAATCTTCCATTATTCCCTATGTATTTCTTCCCTTGATAGCAGTGTTCCTCCTCTACTGCTTAGTTACTTTCTGTCATTGCTGAAACAAAGTACCCGATGCCCAACATTAAGGAAGAAAAGATTTATATAGCTCACAGTTTGTGGAGGTTTTAGTCCATAACCAGGAGGCACCAAGGCAGGGTGGCATGGCAGAGGGGCACTGTGCATGGTGGCCGAAGATGGCAAAAGCAGCAAGAAGGAAAGGGGGCAGAGCAAGCCTCTTTCCCTCCCAGGACCTTATGCAGGCTAATTGCCCGCCCCGGGGGTAGCTCTCACACCACCTCCTCGCCCTCCTCCGGCACAGGCTGAGGATGTTTACAAAGTGAGCACCCTGGCCTCCTGCTGAATCACTTAAATAAACTTTTATTGTTGGTACTTGGAATCAAACTCAGGACCTTGTGCTTGTCAGGCAGGCTAAATAAACTTGTAAACTTCTCAAGTTGACACAGTGAATCAACCATTACACCGTCCTAGGGCACAAACAGCCACCCAGGGCATATATTTTACACCCTGGGATGTGGAACTGCTGAGTCATTTAGTTAAGCTATTATACCTCCTTTCCTCTTAAGACTGTTGGACTGCTTTCTGAAAGACAAAACTTTATGGAAGGGAGCCACAGAAACCGGATTAGGGTATAATCAGCCACTCTGGTATTTCCTGTCACTGGTGACTTCTTGGAAGGTAGGAAAGGAGACGCTGCTTCCCACTGACGGTCATCAAATTGCAGTCTGAGTCCCTAGTCCCAGTGAGGTTTAAAAAAATAACTGCTTCCACAGACACAGTCATAAACTCAGCTGGCTCTGTGCTCGGTTCTCTTTCTCTCTCTCTCCTCTCTCTCTCTCTCTCTCTCTCTCTCTCTCTCTCTCTCTCTCTCTCTCTCTCTCTCTCTCTCTCTTCTCCCTCCCTCTCTCTCTCTCTCTCTCTCTCCCTCTCTCTCTCTCTCTCCCTCTTTCTCTCCCTCTCTCCCTCTCTCCCTTCTCCTTGTCTTCTTCCTCCCTTTCTGAACTTTACATCCTCCACTTCTATCTGGTGCCTCCCCTTAAGATGGTCAATATGGAACTAATCCCCCTTACTGTGTGTTATGTTAAATGAAAAGACTCCTGGTTTCTCCTTCTTGATTTAGAGACAGTCAACTTCCTCAAACAAAAAAGCAAATGTCTCTAGAGCCACCCCAGGAGCCACCCCAAATTAAAGTTTTTATTGCTAACCCTTGGTCAAGGAGTTACTTGTGTCTGCTGGTGAGCGCATCTCCACTGATGTCCAGTCTTATTCTGTAATCCAACTCCATACTTGGAGCTTGCGCTAGTCTGTGGGAAAGCAGGAGCTCTGTCTCAGGGCACAGAAATAAATGTGTTTTGTCATAGAGATAAATTTCTGACCACAGATGTGGCAGAGGACACATAATTTTCTTCTGATCTTCTTTCTGTGAGGCAAGTGGGTACTGAGAGAGACCCAGCCCATGTCATTGTACATATTTATAGAGAAATGGGAATAACAAAGTCTACTATATTTGGTCTATGGGCCAGCAGCTCAGCTAACCTTACAGATGAGTCTTGCGCCCTCCCCATACCCCCTGAATCAGAATCTACATTGTGTGATTTGGAACTCTTTGGAATTTGAGAAGTTTGTTTTGGCAATACATCATAATAAGAGGATCCTGGATCTGGAAATGGCCTAGTCATAAAATGGTTGTTGGGCTGGCTCATTCGTAGAACTAATTCAGATTTGCTTAGTCAGCACTAAGCTTTCAAAATGGGAGAGAAAAAAATGAATCTCTTAACACCATTCACATCTGTCTGTCCTCAATTAGACAAATGAACAAGGGACTCATTGAGGTGACCAGGAGATAAAAGAGATAGCCTATGCTTCTGAGTATTTAGTTGAGAATTGGAAGGATTAGTAAGGCCAAGAAATGGTACAGTGACCCACTAGGAAGGCTTGTATCCCAGGGCTAGTGATGAAAACTATGGGATCCCAGGGGCACCAGAAATGGAGAGATAGGATTTTCTGGTTTTTACTTTCATTTAATCAAGGAATCAATGCCATTGAAAAATTCTAGGTGGCTTTAATACCTTTTGAATTTTCCTTATATAAATCTTTTGCCTTTTTAAAAAGTACCTTTTGAGCAAAACCTCATCCCTCAGAGAGGTGCTAGTTTTTGTTTAACATAAGTAACAAAAAGCAATCAAGGAATTCTTTGCAAATATCCAACCTGGCCTATGGTCATGTTTTATTGTTTCAGATATTTGAAGACAGTAATCTTCATAAATCTCCCCACATCCAAAAGTTACTAAACTGTACTGACAATATTTTCACGTCGATTTTTGTTCTGGAAATGGCTCTGAAATGGGTAGCCTTTGGATTTATGAAGTATTTCACCAATGCGTGGTGCTGGCTTGATTTCATCATTGTGGTTGTAAGTTGATGATCTCTGTGTGCCTAGCAGTGTGCAGCAAAGGGTGGGAGCGGGGCTTGTAAGAGAACTGCCTTCCTGCCCCTCGTGTGTGTACCTCTCCAAATGTTTTCCTTGCCTCTGCAGAGCACATGTAAGTAGTTACTGTTTGTCCACGAGCAGCGCAGCCCCTCCCACATCCGGCTGTTTCTTTGGTCTGCCTCAGCCTTTCCCATGATGCTACCTGTCTTCCTGTCTCCATAAGTACTGTCTCTAGATGTAAATGTAGAATAACTTTGAGTAGCCTCTATTTTCTCTTGTCCTTCCAACTTTCCATTTCAAAATTTCTCAAAGCAGGTCACCAGTCATCAGATTAGACTAGTCCTAACCTTGATTTTCAGGCAGTATAAGAGGACAGTTCACATACACAGTGTCTCAATGTGCACAGCAATTGTTCTGAGTTAAGCAACATTCTCTGGCAGCTACCACCTCACAGATGAGGAAACCTGAAGCTTAGAAGATTAGGACCGTGTTTCAGGCCACAAGAACGGTTAATGTGAAACTGGAATTCCTACCTTCCATCACCTCTACAACACGAAACTAATAGTGGTAACCAGGGACCACATTTATTGAGGACATTCTCTATACTGGGCACTGTCCTGTAGCCTCCACGTGTATCTCTCTCTTGTAGTTAGCACAGCCACTCTTTATGGGAGGCACTCATTTTCTCCATATTCAAAGGAAGGAAGGAAGTCACTGAGACCCAAGGAATGGTTAAGAGTTTCTACCCAGCTATACGTGGCAGAAATAAGATTTGCAACTTAGTGAGTTCCAGAGCCAGATGTGGGGGTTTATACCTCTAATTCTTGAGACAGGGGGATTGCTGCTAGTCTGAAGCCAGCCTGGTTGCCTGGTGAGTTCAAGTCCAGCCTGGACTACACAGCAAGACCCTGTCTCAAAACCAAACAGACAAACAAACAAAAACAAATTCCTCCCAAAACAAAAATCAAGATCAAAACAGTACATCTCAGCCCAAAGTCCTAGATTTTAACATTTTTTTTTACCATGAAATAATTAGATTTTGTTCAAGTTAGGAAGTAGAAAAATAACTATATGACATAAGTCAGTGGGGATAAACCTCAGTGGAAACAAACAGACTGTGTGGTTCTGGCATTTTAGAAAAGGATCAGTACCTAGGAGCGCCAACAGAACTTGAAGGAGGGAACAGAAACACTATATTTTTGTTAATTTTCGGAGTACAAATAACTCCTGCCAATTATCTTATTAAGATATGGTGAGTTAATAGGTGGGAACCGAGGGCTGTTATCTTCGTGAGAGGAATCTTTTCTTACTAAGTACTATAGAAGCCCGGCCCTTAGGATTGTAGTTGAATGGTCCAGTAAGTAGTATTGCAGGTTCTTATGTACAAGGAAAGAGTTATCAAGAATACACCAGTGTATGTGGTAAGTAGCTACATTTATTGAAGATCGCAAGAGAGGGAGCAACTAGAAAAAGGAAGAAAGGGTCCAATAAGTCAGGCTTTCAAAATTTAAAGGCTGGAACCTCTGTTTTTGGAGCCTCTTACTGAATCTCTCACTGATACCTAGGGCATGGCGATCTCCTAGGCACTTTTTTTTAACCTCTTTTAGGATAACGGGACCAGGACTAACCTTTGGGTGTTGTTTCCGGTTAAGTGAACGGAAGGGAATGACTCTCAGCTCCTTGTTTGTAACTGAGTCCTTGAAATATAAAAACAGTAGTCCAAAACCACACTTTCAGTACCAGATGGTTTTACAGGCAAGTTTTACTAAGCTTCCAAAGAGCAGTTAACCCAAATCTTTTTCAGATTGTTACAGAGTAGAAAAAGAGAGAAAACTTACGAACTTAATAACATAAGTATAATCTTAATAACAAAATGAATAGAACAGAAATGATCAAAAAAAGAAAATAATCTTATAACTATACATGTTTTTAAACCAAAGACAAAGCAGTCAATAAGTGTGATTGACTGTTGCTGATATTAGCCTGGGAATCACAGAAACTGAGCTGTAAATCTTCATTTGACCACTGATCAACCCATGACAGAAACGAGTTTCTCATCCTTTGAGCTTCAGGCTCTCTCATCTATTACATGGAAGGAGTTGTATTACACTGCTTGGCTTGGGACATTGCTGTGCAGATTAAGGAAGAGAACTGCGGGGAGGGTTTGAGACAGGTTCTTGCTGTGTCATTTAGGCTGTCCTTGAACTCATGACAATCCTCTTACCTCAGCCTCTCAGGTGCCACGGTTACAGGCATATGCCACTGTGCCTTGCTAAGTGAGAGAATTCCTATAATGTTGCTTGTCAATCAATATTTCATGTAGTGACTTTTATAATTTTGGAATAGAAAAAAACAAATATAAGCCATATAAAATATGCAAATTCAACTGTTAAAATATGACTCATTTTTCTATTCAACAATACTGAAATTATAATTAAAGACAAAGAAGAGCCTGAGAGTCAGTATTTGTCATGCATGGGGTAGATCATTATTATCCAAATATATAAAACACCATATAGATCCACAGAGAAAAAGACAAGCTACAGTAAGAATGAAAGAAAAATGCAAGCGGGCAACTCACAGAAGAAACTTTTAAGTTGATAATAAATGTATAAAGAAACTCATATGACCAGTAGTTTCACAGTTAGCACACAAGTGCATTATAAAATCAGAGACCTCTTTTGCTCATGAGATTGGCAAATACTTTAAAGTTAGCTGATATCTAAACTGATAGCTAATATTGCGAAGGATTTAGGAAAACAGAATACCTTACTCACTGCTAACCATTTACATGGTACAACAATTATGGGAATAAATTTGCACTACTGAATAAAATGATAAATTACTCAAACATACAATCCAGAAATCTCACTTCTCTTCTGTATCCAAGGAAAACTCTTAAACGTATACCCAGGGAAAACACACATGCCTTTCAGTCTACTACTGTTCATAAAGAAATGGAAATGACTGAGATATTCACCAAAGGAGAAAGGATCTATGAAACATGATTATTCATGTGCTGTAATATTCTATTGTCCCAAGCCAATGTCCCAAACATGATTATTCATGTGCTGTAATATTCTAAAACAGTTGAAAAGGGCAAACCATAAGAATGTACATGATGAATTTCAAAAGCTGTGCAGAGTGATGAATGCAGGCTAAGCCTACCATCCTCTTCCCTCTGGCTAGGGATAAGTGGAGAGAATGTTTGAGAGAAACACCCAGAATACCCTTCCAACAAGCAATGCTATGACCAGGAAAAGGCCTATTTAATAAAAACGTGACAAATAGCATTTTAAGTTGATTATAAAATTTTTTAATTATTTTAAAGATAATAAAACCAAGCAACATAAAATAGAATAAAGCCAACAAAGCAAAACAGTGAAAGTGGTACAGGGCTTTAAAATAAGATAATAGGAAATCAACAGTGACTGCCGTAATGCCTCTTGTTAGCTTCAAAATAGCTGCCCATGCCATCAGATAAAATCAAACAAAATGATGAACATGACACAGGAATTTAAAACAAGATAGTAGGGAACTAACAGTGGCTACCACCATCAGAAGGAAATCCCCCACAGTTGCTACACTGCATATTGTTGTCCTCTAAATAGATGCTCAGACTACTGGCTTTAGGCCCGCAAAGTCAATGAAACAATACAAGCCTTAAGCCATTTGTTTCTGTTTTTAAACTTCAGTAGTCTTTATCTCAGCCTGTGCACTTCTTCTTGTCACCCAACCGATGCACCAGCTGGCTCATAGGAAGGGGTTGGTCCAGCCCATGGCTGCCCTCAATTATAAATTTCTAAAATCTTGTTATTCTTTTATATTCTCTTAATTTTCAAATATGTTACTATATAACTGAAGCTGACAGGATTAGGTAATAGTGAACTTTGACATTGGCCATTTCAAGAACCTAGTAACTCACCTTCTGGCCAATTGAGGCTACTCCTCTTCTAAGACAAAGCTCTGAGACTCTGTGACACAGAAGAGACACCGAAGATCCATGAAGAGAAGTCACTGGACTCAGCACACTGTTAAGGTTTCATTCAGTGTGCTCAGCATAGCTTCCCAAATCTCAGTCCTATCTCAGTAGGAAGCAGTATTTCCCAAAAAGAAGGGATGTAAGGAGAAATATTAACAAACAAGTTATGTTTTCCTTGTAACTTTTTATTTTTATATCATTTCAAACTAATGGAAAAGTTCTAATAATAGTATGAAGAGCTCCTCATCTCCCTGTTTGTTTTTCTCTTTCAGATTAAATTGCAAGCGCCATGTACTGCTAACCATTTCAGTATGTATTTCAAACAAGGGCATCATCTTCTATAACTAGAATACAGTGATCAAAGTTAGGAAATTTAACATGACTTCTATACTAAAATCCACATCCATTTTCAAATTTGATCAGTTGTCACAAGATTCCTTATGACTAGTTCTGTCTACTGATCCACCCTGTGTCTCTGCCCTAACGCAGCACCCAATTCATGATCCCATCCACGTTAGTGTCTCAGGTTTTTTTCCCTGGTCTTTCATTAAACGATGCAAATGTATCTTTTCTGCCTTCGTGGACTAGAGTTGCCAGACAAGGAGAGCTGTGGCTTCGCGCCTGCTCTTTCCCCAGCAGGGTCTGGCTTGCTGCGAGGCCCAGCCTCTCGAGACCTTGCTGGTTCCCCAGGGCTCATGGTCCGGTTCTCCTCTCCCCAGGTCTCTGTGGTCAGTTTTATGAATAATACAGGCTTGAAAGCCTTCCGGACTCTGCGGGCACTGAGGCCTCTTCGAGCCCTGGCTCGATTTGAAGGAATGAAGGTACAGTCTCCAAGCAGATAGCTGGAGGAGATCCCCCTGTCAGAAAGGCAGACCAACTGCTTCTGGGCTGGGCTTTCCTTCCCTTGCTAAGCTTTTCCTAGGGTTCTTCCCGCCCAGTCCCTTCAGAGTCCTACAGCAGGGATCTGCTGAGTCCTCGTTGGGTGCAGTTCAGGTCCTTCTCAGTGACCCTGGGACTGACAGCAGGACTTGCCATGGGTGGAGGGTGGGGTATGTCAGTAAAGAGAGACCTTCAAGAAACACAGCCCTGCACATCAGGCTCGTCCTGATATGATAAGAGCCTGGTGAGTCGTGCCCACCAGTGACATCTTCCTTCTGATCTGCTTCCTTAAGGTGGTGGTGAACGCTCTCATAGGCGCCATACCTGCCATCGTGAATGTTCTGCTTGTCTGTCTCATTTTCTGGCTCATATTTTGCATTCTGGGAGTAAACTTCTTTTCTGGAAAGTTTGGAAATAATACCAAAATTTTCAAAGATGACAAATGTCCTGGAGAAAATCACACCAGGCAACCCCTGAATGTCAACTTTGACCATGTGGGCATGGCTTACCTCGCTCTGCTGCAAGTGGTAAGTAGTCAGGTACATTGTTCACTCTGAGAAGAGAAAACTTGCAAAACTCTTACATAATTTGTCAGATAATAAAATTAAGCTAATAGAATCAAATCCACATGTGGGAAGCAGTGCCCTCGGATCCATTTCTCACTTAGTATCCTTAAATTCCCTTCTTTTGCTTTGTGGTACTAGGGATTGAACTCAAGGCCTTCTACTGGAGCTATTTCCACTGTCATTTCTACTTTGTATTTTTGAAACAGGGACTAGTTCAATTGCTAAATTTGAGACTGATTTCAAACTCTCAATCATCCTGCCTCAGCTTTCTGAGTATCTGGGATTATAGATGTGCACTGTCACACCTAGATCCGTGATCTTGTATGTGGGTATTCCTTCCTGGTGTGATAGGCACCATCATATTGATAATTGCCCCCTGGGCCTGGCAACCTTTGTGTAGCATGTGTCCATTGGTGGCAAGTCTACACTTGACTCCATGTTTCTCTGCTTCTGTTGCAGGCAACATATAAGGGCTGGCTGGACATTATGTATGCAGCTGTTGATTCCACAGACGTGAGTCTATGTTACACTGTATTCTAAAGTGTTAGGTTCCAATCAGAGATACCATGAGTACATGAACCACCCACACTTTCCTGCATTATAGTTCTACCAGCCAGGGTTTGTCAGTCTTATTCCTTGGGAACATGAAACATCACTGCTTGATAAATAGGGCTCTAATACATTCTTCAGTGAGGATCGGCCACCCCAATATTCTTCAAGTCCAGTGTTCTTGCTCTGTGGTGAATGAGGAAAAAATATTCATGTAAGAGATGGAGCCAGAAGCAACAGAATCACAGGAAGGTTGATTTTCTTCTCATCTTTTTAAATGGATGGACAAGAAGAGGGAAAATTTCAGAGGCTCCCTGCTTTAGACGGTGAGAAATACCTTAATACTGGCTAAATCTGAGCAAAAGAGACCCGCCTGTGGCTCCAGTATTCCTGGCAATCAGCAGAGGGCGTTCTGCTGATTGCCAACTGCTGAATTTCAGTTAAAGAAAAAAATAATCATGAAGTCCAGAGGTCTGAAGAGTAGTAAGCATTCTGGTCTATTTCTGTTTGCCAGCTGGGAAAATGTGGGGATAGAAAGGAGGAGAGCTGCCCAGAGCCACAGGGTGTCAAATGGTGGGTACCGAGTAACAAAGATCATAAATACATTCCAAAGATTACAGAACTGTCGACTCTCATAGCTGTATTTTAAAAATGTGTTCAGAAAGGAAAAAAATAGAAGTCATCTCACTACCTAGCCCGAAATTCATAAAGCTGATAACAATATGTACAAACTATTCATCCACAAAGGGCTTAAATCCAGAATCTATAATGAACTCAAGCAACTTAGCAACAACAAAAAATGGTCCAGCTTTAAAATGAGCAAGTGACCCCAAATAGACATCTCTCACAAGAGGATATAAAACTGATGAAAAAATATGTGAAAAAATACTCAACATTATTAACTATCCGAAAAATACAAAGCAAAACCACACTGAGGTATCTCTCACCCAATTTAGAAAACCTATGAACAAAACAAAACAAAATACCAAATGCTGTTGGGGACATAAAGGGCAACTTTTGTACCTGAATGGTGGGAATGTAAACTAGCACTATCATTATGAAAAACAGTATGACGATTACCCAAAAAAGGAGAAAAATAACTACCATATGGCCCAGCCACCCCAGTACAAGTGTATAGCCAAAGAAGTTGAAACAGTGTGTGTCAGACACAGCTACACTTGTATGGCTTTTGCAGCACTGTTCACAGTAGCCAAGACACGAAATCAATGCAGATGAATGGAGAAAGAATATGTGGTAAACATTCTGTTCTTTGCAACATGGATGGAACTGGAGAACACGATAGCCAATGAAATAAGTCAGGCGCTAAAAGACACATATTGCATGTTCTCATGCAGACGCTAGGAGATGGGTTTATCTGCAGATGTTAAAAGATTGGTCTCATGGAAGTAGACAGCAGAACAGTCATTACCAGAGCCTGGGGAAGAGGAGTGGAGAGAAAATGGTTAATATACAGAAGTGAAATTAGATAAGAGGAATAACTTCTAGTATGCTATAGCACAGCAGAATAACTATGGTTGACAACCATTAATTATTTCAAAATAGCTAGTGGAGATTGTCAAAGTTCTCAGCAAAAGGAAATGATACATGTCTGAAGGGTGGGTATACCAATTATGCTGGTTTGATCATTACACATTATATATATGCATTTAAATGTCCCACTGTACTGCCATAAATGTGTATTACAATGTGTCAATTAGACATAAAAGTATTTTTAAAAAAAAACATAAAGAACTTAGATGAAAGATACTTCTGGCATATACTGACCTGAAGAACTTGATTGGAGTCAATTCATGTCCACTCTGAAGCCTGATTGTCCATCAGTTCTTTCTCTCTCTCTTCCTTTCCTTCCCCTTCCCCGTCCCCTTCCCCATGCCTTTTCCGTCTGTTCTTCCTTCCTTCCTTCCTTCCTTCCTTCCTTCCCTCCTCTCCCCCCACTGTTTCTTTCTTTTAGCGTATATTGAAAATCAACACACCAAAGGATATGCCAGGCACTGACAATCCTAGAGCGAAAGGGCACAGCACAGAGAGAGCAGGACGTGGTCCGTAGGAAGGATGTATTCGATCTGCGGTGTGTCGTAGTTTAGCCACCTCTGCCCCAGGTGAATGTGCCTCTTCTCATGACCTTTTCTCAGTATGGTCCCTTCCAAGTATATGTTCATATAGACATGGGACATTCTCCTTTTTTTCATCTTTAAACTGTTACTATAATTATTAACACATATTAATTGTACAAATAAATGAGCTTCACTATGGTGTTTTAATACCAGTATGTAGTGTATCTTAATCAGGTTTAGTGTGTCTTTCTTTTGCCTTTATTTCCTCTATTTTCTTTCTTCCTTAGCTCACTACCAAGACTCTAATCCTCTGCTTTCTACTTTTAGGTCATCTTTGTTTTGGATGTTATTTTGTTTTGATATTTGTTTACACAAACAAGAGAAAATATGTGATACTTGTCTTCTGGTGTCTGGCTTATTTCATTTAAGCCATTTAAGCCATTTAAGATGATGCCTTCAGTTCCATCCATTTTCCTGCAAATGATAGGATTTCATTCTTCTTTATGACTGAATAATACTCCATTGTGTGTGATACTGTGTTTCCTTTATCTAATAGGCACTTAGGCTGATTTCATCTTTTGGCTATTGTGAATGCTGCCTTGATAAATATGGATACGCAAGTACCTCTGTGTGTGTGCTGACTTCATCTCCTTCATGTACATATCCAGGAATGCGGGAGTTCATACTCTCAGTTTTCTGAAGAAGAGTTCTTGTGGCTATGCTAATTTATATTCCACCAACAGTGTATAAATGTTCAATCAGGAGATTTTTGGAAGAGAAATATGATCATGTCACTCCTCTCTCTAAATCTCTGCATGGATCTCCATTGCTTAACAGAAAAGTCCAAGCCTCCAGCCACCCCAGCTCCCCACACTGGTACTACTCAAACCGTGTGAGGGGAAACAAGAAAGGCTGCCCCAGCCAGCACGGCTGTCACAAGGAGGGGACATGGCTAGGGCTGCTGATGGGAAACATTTTGGTGTTCTAGATAGAACAGCTAGGATGGATTCATTTCTCTTCACTAAGTGTTTTTTCTTATTAAAACATCCCCAACAGACAGAAGAGCAATTCGAGGCAAATCCATACATGTACCTTTACTTCGTAGTTTTTATCATCTTTGGCTCATTCTTTACGTTGAATCTCTTCATTGGTGTTATTATTGACAACTTCAATCAACAGCAGAAAAAGATAAGTATGCGGGTTGGACTGACGTGGGGATTTTATCTCTGCTCTGCAAGGGCGTTACTAGAACATAGCTCAGGTGCGGCTGTTGGGTAGCGTAGGCTTTGTGATCATCACAAGAACAGAAAGGAATCCTCTGCCTGAAGAACCTTGCTCGAAGGCTGAATGGGAACCAAAAAGCTGAGTTTTATCAGATCACTGTTTTTACACTGACTGACTGCATGCTTTTGTGGGAATTAAACCTGGTCCTAAAAGAATAACAGCATCCAAATCAGCATTTATGACCTAAATGCATATTTTAACACTTCAGGTATGACTTGTTATCCATGATAAACAGAAGGGGCGTTATGCTTTCAGCACACTGTATCCTGACCTCTAACGCACACCTTGGAAGATTACTAGAAGCTACTTAGAAAGATGCCCGAGCAGGGATAAGAACGGTTGTTCCATGCATTATAGTGCTCAGATGTTGTTTCTCTCTTTCTGAAATCTGCAAGGGCTTTGTACTATGTAATATCAAGGAAGATAAAAAGGACATTTAAATCACCTCATAGTGATCACCAAATGATAACCACTTTAGAAAATGCCTCCAATCATTTTGGTACAAACCCCTCCTCCAGTTACCTTCTAACTAAATATATATACATATATATGATTACTTTATATTTTTATTTTTAACAGGAAAATTAATTGCTTTTTTATTAGTACATGTTTGCAGTACATAGTAATCACATTCATTATGCAGGATTTGTGCGTGTACATGACAAAGCTTAACTGTCTCCTTCCTCTCCCCTCCCCCCAGGCCTTGCTCCCATCCCTGTTATCAAGAGTTCTATTTCCATTTCCCCTTTGATTCTCTTTTCCTTTAACTCTCTTTCCATTCCTGCTTGCCTTCTTCCCTCTCCCCATTTCTTTCCAGTTGAAAAGGTCATCTTACTTCCTAATATCTATCCTCTATTTTTCTCTTTATTTATGTTTTGGGTTTTTACACAAGAGAAACAACACAGTATTTAAAATGTGTGTCTGATTTATTTTACTTGGTTATACCAATTTATACTCTAACACTGGAAAAGAGTTTCTTTATCCTGCAGCCTTGCTAGCATTTGTTATTGGCTGATTTCTTGATGGCAGCCTTTCTTTCTGGGTGAGATGGAATGTTGGTGTTATTGTAATTTGCATTTTTGAGTGGCCAGTGATACGGAACATGTTTTCATGTATTTATTGGCTGTTTGTACTTCTTCACTTGACAAGTGTCTGTTCATTTCAGATGTCCGTATTTGGAATGGGTCTTTAAATTTGGGGGAGGGGTCTAATTTTTGAATTCTTTATATGTTCTAGATATTAGTCCTCTGTCTGAAGAGTTGCTGGCAAAAATTTTGTCACATTTTACAGGTTGTTTCTTCATTCTGTGGGTGGTTTCCCTTGCTGTGCAGAAGCTTTTTAATTTGATGTGACTCTGGGGCTGGGGATTTAGCTCAGTGGCACAAGCATTTGCCTGGCAAGTATGAGATTGTGAGTTTGATTCCTGGTACAATAAAAATAATAATTTGATGTGAGTCCATTTGTTGATTCTTTGTAATAGTTCTTATACAACCATAGTTTAGTTCATAAAATCTTTGCATGCACCCATGCCTTCAAGAGTTTTACCCACTGCATCTTCTAGCAGATTAAGTATTTCTGTTTTATTATTAAGATCTTTGACTCATTTCAGTTTTAGTTTAGTGCATTGTGAGAGTTATGGATCCAGATTCAATGTTTGGAATGTGGTTAGCCAGCTTTTTGCAGCACCATTTGTTAAGGAGTTTATCCTTCTTCCAGTGCAGGTGTTTGGCCTCTTTTTAAAAAATAAAGTAGCTTAATTGTGCCTGGAGTTGTTTGTGCATCTTGTCTCCTGTTCCCCTGGTTTGTTTGTTTTTGCTAATACCATGCTGTTTTTTTAATCACTGTAGCTTTTCAGTATAATTTGAAGTCTAGGATTATGATACCCCTGCCTTGTTGCCTAGAATTACTTTTGATGTTCTGAGTCTCTTCTAGTTCCGCATGAATTTTATTATTGTTTTGGGATTGCATTAAACCTATGTAACATTTTTAAAAGAATGGTCATTTACTATATTCATTCTTCTTATCCAGGAAGAGGGTCATCTTTCCATTTTCCAATATCCCTTTCAATTTCTTTTTTTCAGAATATTGTAGTTTTCGTAGTAGAGGTCTTTCGTTTCCTTGGTTAGGAATATCAATTCCTAAGTATTTTGTTTTTCTTGATGCCATTGTGAAAGGTATTGTTTCCCTAATTTCTCTCTTGGTGAGTTTGTTATTCGTGTACAGGAATGCCATTGGTTTTGAGTGCTGAATTTGTTCCTACAATTTTATAAAATTTTGTTATTGTAGGATTGCTTTGGTGGGAGTTTTTGAGGTTTTCTATGTCATCAGCAAATAATGATAATGTAACTTTCCTTCCTACACATATTCTTTTTATTTCTTTGTCTTTTTTAACTACTCAGGCTAGTATTTTAAGAACTGTATTGAACAAAAGAGGTGACAGTGGAATTCTTTGTCTTGATCCTGAGTTTAGTGTGAAAACTTTCAGCTTTTTTCCATTTAGTATGATGTTGGACATTTGTTTGTGATAGACGGATTGTATGAAATTGACTTTCTGTTCCATATTTCTTCAGGGTTTTTATCATGAATGGCCATTGGATTTTGTCAAATGCTTGTTCTGCGTGCATTAGATGACCATGTGGTTCTTGGCCTTGCTTTTGCTACTGTGATATATTACATCCATCCATTTGTGTATGTTGAACCATCCTTGCATCCCTGGAGTGGAGTTTACTCTGTCAGTATATAATTTTTTTGGTGATTTGCTGCTTTCTGTTTGCCAGTAAATTATTGAGAATTTTTGCATCTATGTTCATTAAAGAGATTGGCCTAGAGTTTTACTTTCTGTTTGAGGCCTTTTCTGGCTTTGGTATGAAGGTAATGCTTACTTCCAGGAATGAGTTTGAGACTATTGCTTCCCCGTCCCCTTTAAAGAGTTTATGAAGCAATGGCATTAGATCTTCTTTAAAATTCTTGTAGAATTTGACAGGACCTCAGCTTTTCTTTGTTGGTAGTTTTATTAATTACTTGTTTGAGTTCATCGACTGATACTGTATTATTCAGAATTTTTGTATCTTTTTGCTTCAGCTTTGGTAATTCATATGTATCTAGCAATCTATCCTTTCTAATCTTCCATTTTATCAGAATATATATTTTCAAAATAGTTATCAGTTATCTCCTGAATTTCTGTAGAACTTGTTGTGATTTCATCCTTTTCATGTCCATTAGTGTTTGTTTTATAAAGTTGTGTGCACCAGTATTTGGTGCATATATATTTATGAATTGTTCCCTTGATCTTATTTGTCTCTTCTGATCAGCTGTGGCTTGAAATCCAGTTTGTCTGCAATCAAAATATATATTCCTAATTTTTTCTGGGTTTCTGGGTGGAATACTTTTTTCCAAACCTTTGACTTTCAGTCTGTGAACTTTGGGGTTAAATGTGTTTCTTGTATACAGCATCTTGTTTCATGATCCATTTGACCATACTTTCTTTTGACTGGTGAACTTAGACCACTGACATTGATGGTTATAACTAATGGATATTGACTTATCCTTTTTATTATATTATTTTCCTGCCATTGGTTCCTTTCTTTTCATTCAGTTTAACTGCTTTCTGGTATAGTTTGTATCTAAATGCCCCCCCCCCAGGCTTCAGAAGATCATAGATGGAGATCTTTTAGAACTGGCTGGATTTAGGGCATGTGATGCTGGGACTAGGGGTGTGTTTGTCTACTACTGGAATTAGTACAGTTTTGGGTAGCACCACCTAAGAAGCTGATAGTCTAGATGGAATCCGGAGAGAGGCCGGCTGGCTGCTACAGCTTGCTCCTTGTTTCCTTCTGTCTTGCCTTGAGCCAGCTGACTATGGACTGAAAGCTCTACAAACTGTGAGTGAAAATAAAGCTTTTCTCCCTTAGCATATTGGTGTTGGGAATTTTGTTCCAGCAATAACAAAATTAGGGCACTTGCCTTTCCTAGTGGATTCATTCTACTCGGTGTTTTGAGATTGGTATCTTTTTTGTCTCTTTGTACAATATCTTTGAAAAATCTTTTGGAGTGCTGGTTTTGTGGTCATGAATTTTTTTAGTTGCTCTCTTTATCATGGAAGTATCATATTTCCCCATCAATTCTGAAAGATAGTCTCAGAATTGATGCACTAACCTGGGTTGGAAGTTACTTTGTTTTTTGGTACTCGGGATTGAACTCATCACCTCACGATTGTAAGGCAGGTGCTTATGCCTGCTTAGCTAAATCCCTGGCCCCAGAAGTTTTCTTTTAAGGGCTTGAAACATTTCACTCCAAGTTCCCCTTAGTTTTAGGGTATGTGTTAGGAAGTCTGCTGTAAGTCTGATTGGTTTTCCTTTATAAGTAGTTTGTTTGTTTTTTTTTAAACTTCTATTCTTGTGTTTCTGGAATCTTGAGTATTATGTATGCTGGATTCTTTGTTTTTTTGTTTTTTTTTTTTTCTTTGATCATGGCTATTCAGGATTCTACGTGCCTCACTTGCCTGTATGTTAAATTCTTTTTCCTTAGCTGGAAAGGTTTTCTGTTATTACTTTGCAATCATACTGTTTGTGCTGTCTTCTAAATTTTCATTGCTTCCAGTTAACCTCAGATCAGTCTTCTTTGCATGATCTAGCAGCTGCTGGATACCTTCGTAATGTTCCCTTGTTAATTTTAGTGTGTCTCTCATTAGTTGCTTACCAACCATAGTCCTGTCTTCTGGGTCTGATGCTGTGTCCTCACATTTGTCAGTTCTGCTGCCTATACTTTCAATCAGGTTTTTAACCCCCTGAATTTCTATTTGAAGCTGCTTTATAAACTCCAATTCTTTACTGTGCTTGGACATTTATGGCTTATATCTCTTTTTGATGCTCCTTTAGTTTTTTATTAGCATCACCTCTTGATTTGCTG